ATTTATTCATAGCAATTTTTGCGGGGGAAGGGGGTACCAGGGATCCAACTCAGGACCTTGTGCTTGCGAGGCAGGTGGCAGAACCACTGAGCTAAATTCCTGGCCCTCACAGCATTTTTTCTGAGTCCCTTATTTCTTAATTCCCTGGTTGTCAAAGTTTGATCTCAGACTGGCAGCACAAGCATCACCTGGGATTCATATTAGAAGCTCCAGTTCTTGGGCCCCAGAGTTACACTTTCTTCTGAGTTAAAAGACTAGGGAGTAAAGCCAGCATCTGTTATTTCTGAGGCATGCAGAAGTGTAAGAACCACTGGCCTGCCAGTAGTTCAGCAGCACAGTGTCTGCCTGGCAAGTTTGAGGCCCTAAGTTCAGTCCTCGGTACCAAAAAGAAAAAGAAACACTGGCCTAAATAATGGAAGCATTTCTGTAAATTCAACTTTGTGTTTATTATCAAGAGTCCTAGTGGTAACATAGTTCTTGAATGAGTTAATTTTTAAGCTTAGAGGTTGCAGATAGCATAGGCACTGACAATTTGGACCTCAAACATGGTGTGAAGAGTGAACCTGCATTTGAATTCTCATGGGAAAAATCTTTCCTCTACTATAAGTCCAGACAAACTTCCTTGTTGACTTTATATCAGTGGGATGACTTTTTCTAGTTTTCCTTTTATTGTAAGTTAACATTGCTTTGGAAGTTTTAGCTTTGTGCAAGGATTTCAGTGACATCTTTTGTCCTTCCTGAAAACCTCTGAAAAAATAAATCTGAACCAGGTATGGTGGTACATCCATATGATTCCAGCACTGGAGTCTGGGGTGGCTCCTGAGACAGGAGGATCACAAGTTTGAACCTAACTAGATGTCTTTGCAAGATTCTCAGTACATAGACCCTGGGTTCAATACCTAGTACCACATGCCTGCCTAAATAAATGAAGTAGCTCATTGTAGAGACCCTGGATTCATTCTCCAGTACCAGAGAAGAGACAGACACAGAGAGACCAATCTGGTTTTCAGATTGTTTTTCCTTCTTGTTTCTGGGTCCTTGATTTTTGTTTTCTGAGTACAGTGTATTGTACTTAAGCCATTACTTTTAGACCTTTATATAATGATTTTTGCTTTGAGTTTGATTTTTGTCACAAAATGTAAGTTTTTAGAGTTGGTTTTATATAAAAGTTTAAATAATACTTAATGCTCTATCCTGTAACTACAGCTGTGATCTTTCTTAACTTGTCCTGAGTTTAATTATTGAAAACCAGTAAACATTCTTCATAGCATAAATACCTATACATTATCCATTTGCAGAACCAGGAGTGTGTTTGGCCCACAGAGAAGGACATATAATCCTCTGACTGTCCATTGCAGTCAAAAAATGTTTTAGAATGTTAAATGGGTTTGCCTTACTTTTTGATTTTCCAGGACTGAGCACCTTTTATATTTTTTATGACTAATGAGCTGTGCACTTAAATTGTATTAAAATCTTTCAAGTTAGCAGTCATACTGTTCTTACCTACATTATTTAGGTCATTTTTTTCTGACTTCTAATTTGGAATAATCGTTCTTCAGTCTTGCTGCACCGTCATTCCTGGGATTTTTTTCATTATGCTTTTGGTTTACATTTACCTCTGTTGGAATGTGTGTATCTCTTTCAAATAGGAGAAGGAGGGAGTGTGCAGGCATACACATAAAATCAATTAAAGGTGGAGTGTAGTGAAGCATGCCTATGATCCCAGTACTCAGGAAGCAGAAGCAGGAAAATCATTACAAGTTTTAGACCAGCTTGGGCTACATAATGAGTTCAAGTAGGCCTAAACTACACAGAGAGACCTTGTCTCAAAATACCTTAATATTAATTAAT